ATTATCTCTGCGCTGCCAACATCACAAATAATATGAAAAAAATACAAATAAACGAGAGAAAAAAATAAAAAAAAAATAAAAACAATTGCAACCCAGGCTGGAAGACAGACAGAAAACAGAGTTCGATGTCGTCTTCAGTTTCAGCTTCGGCCTCAGATCGAAGCTGCAAATAAACTATTTCAATCAATGCTGCCCAGTCCAGGGATCAGTTCTTTGCCCTCTCCCCGCTCCCTATACCCCTCCCTCTCCCCTCTCTATCACTATCTATCTCTCTCTTTCTCTCGGAAACCCATCGATCACATGCCAAAGTTATTTTTTGTGGCATTTTTTGGCTGCTTTCGTTTGAATACCATTTGTGGCACACTCTGTGCAAAAGCACACAGTTTTTTAAACTTAAAAATGAACCTAGATGTAAATTAACAACTATAAAAATCTCAATTTAATAATTTGAAAATTTGTTAATAAATTCGAAGAGAATTTTAAATATAGTTCACAATTGGTGCTTATATGCTCCTTTTATATTATCTTTTTTATGTTTTATTCTAAGTTGGCTAGCATTTAATTGAATTTATAATTTTCTAATTCAAATTCCGGCAACTTCATTTAAATAAAGTTCAGTTTTTTAAATTGCGCGCGCAATGCTTGCTAGCAAGCAGTGCAACACATACTGCTTGCCGAGCTGCGTTGCCTTCAGCAATAGATGACGCTTTGCAAAGGAAGCAGTGTGATTACAGCTTGACATAAGCAGTGTTGCAAGCAGTTTAGTTAATTGGCGGCTTTTTAAATATATTTTAAAATGTTAAAATAAGCTTTTTATATTTTTTAGTTAAATTTAAAAGAATTTACTAAATGTTGTCTTAAATTAATTGAAGTTACTACTCAGCTAATAAATATTCAGTCATAAATATCCACACAATTACATATTATATATTTCTTCATAATTATTTAATTGAACTCGAATCAATTGCAGTGTATTTAACACCATTTAAATGTTGAAGTTCATCGAACTCTTTTGTGCTTTTGGCTTTTGGCAGAGAGCTCTTCTTCCATAGAAGGGCAGCCCATTCCTCATTCCCGTAGTTCTCAATCTGATGACGATGGTAATTTTTAATGCTGATGCTAAGCGATTCTACAATGAAAGTTTTATGTTTGTTGAATTGTTGAATGCACTTCGGCGAAAAGTTCCGAACGCAAATCAAAAATCGAAAAACAATTTTTTCAATTGAAACTCATCGAGTTGCAGTGCCGTGAGAATTTTGACAGCTCCAGATATGCGATACATATATATATATACACACTTGTGTATCGGGTTCAATGCGATCAGTTCGAGTTTGAGGAAGTAGAAAACCTTATCGTTTATTGGTGACTAACTGAAGAATCAAAGCAAACCCAACAAAGCCCAACAAAGACAAAGAACTTGTTTAGCACAGCTGAAAAGTAACTAAACAAAATTAGAGCAACCTTAACGCATAGATACCCTGTAAGCTGTATAAATTCATATTAGTATTCTAAGTATCTTTGTTTATTTTAAATTCAAATATTTAACAACTAAAATGTATATTTTTGAGAGCATTTTTTACGGTCTGCAATAAAATATATGTGACTGAAATAGGAATTATCGTTTTGTTCTCATAATAATTTGAATGCTTTTATAATAATATTCGTTGACAACTTCACACTAATCCAACTTGCTAATCTTGCTTACTCAACTGTTTTTATACTTTAAAAATCTAAGTTTAAGTTTCTAGTTTCTTTCAGCTAAAAACTACAGTTTTTTTTTTACTGTATTTGATTTTTATATAATCTGTCATTTTAAGATGTCGAATTACATTTTGTGCACTTTGTACAATCAGCTGTAAATGATTTCGAGTACAAATCGCTGTCTGCTGTCTGCTGGCTGCTTTTAGCCAGGTTAACTTGGCTTGTCTTGTCTCATTGGCCGAGTGCAATGAACGGGCAATTTTTGGTGTGATTCTTATTTGTTTTTGTTGTTTTTACTTCTGTCTGTGAATGCTATTTGTTTTTATTTTAGCGGCGCACGCGTTTTGTTTAATACTTTTTTTTACGATTTTCTTATCAGTCGCTTGCCAAAAAAAGCAGTAAAGAAGAAGAAGAAGAAGGGTAGCAAATTGTTAAAGATTTGTTATAATTGTGAAGCATTGTTAGTAATTATTTGTGGGTGTGTTTTATGTGTTGTCATTGCCACAGCAGCTGCTTGTTGTATGCTAAACACGCTGTGTGGCAGAGATAAGCGCTTATCGATTGATAAGCAAAAATGATGATTGGTTAACCCGCGTTTGTCAATTGTAGCAATAACAAAGGTGAGGCTTCGTCAATTACATGAATATTATACATTTGTGCAATGTGCAATGCTACGCACAAGGAAGCAGAAAGTGTGCAACAAGGCTTGCATCACTTTGTAATGCGAACATTGCAACACTGCGTGCAGTCATCGATATCGATATCTTCTTTCCGATATGTTCTGTGCATTGATGCTTTTGACTGATAAGTGACGGCAGCAATGAACGCTTATCGTTCACATGCAGCACATGCAGCGTATGAGTAACGGGTTGAGTATACGTAAAGAAACAGAAAACAAAAAACAAAACGGTAAACGACAAATGCGCACACCTCAAAAAAAAAAAACAACAACACAACTTGACCTAAATAGTCAGATTGAACGAAAGCGGGAGCGGGAGTGAGAGAGAGAGAGAGACAGAGAGAGAGAGACTATACGACGCCTTTTACAAATCGCTGCATTTAAATCAACAAAACTACGAAGCGTGCTAATTTGTATGTATTTCATAACAACGTTTTAATTTAAATATAAGACGACAACAACAACAACAACAGCAACAGCAACGCTGCATATTACGTGAAAGCTCCCGCTTACGCTTAAGCTCTCACAATACTCTCACGCTCTTTGGCGCTCAGTCACGCATGCGCAACAGCAGCAGCAACAACAACAACAACAGCAGCAGCAAAAGCGCTCAACTTAATTTTACTTCTAAACAGCAGGCAGCCTAAACACAAATCAAAGTGCGCAAGGCATTGCCGGGCAGGTGAGGGTGTTGGTGGGGGGCGTGCATTGCCGGCTGTGTTGTTGCGGGCGTGGTGCCTGCCTTGTCGTTCTTCTTGCTTGCCCGACTCCTCTTCTCCCACAAGAAAACAACAAGAAGAAAAAACAAAAAGAAGCAAACGAAAATGAAAGCGAGCGCACAGGCAAAAACCCGAAGTCATTTCGGCAGCAGCGACGTCGACAGCGCATCGTGGTTCGTTGTTTAGCTTTTAGTGTGTGCTTTTGTCTGCTGCGAGCGCTGCGCTCTGGTGACGTCACGAATTAGTAAAGGCAAACCGCTGTGTCATATCAAAAGACAGCGTGGTGAGCGTAAATAATCAACTAAGAAAAGATCAATACTAATGATTATGCACGAGCTTAATTTGCATGAGTGAATCAAGCAGAAGGTTCAACAGTCGTCTTATTAAAATTGGAAGGTGTAAAAGCGTCATTGAGTGCAATATATTTATATGTTTATACATCAGTTATTATTTTTTTTAATAATAAGTGCGTATTTACTTATTTCATTAATTGGATAACTATTCTTATAATACATTTTAATGTTATATTTGAAAGAAATGCTAAGGCTTTTCAACACATCACTTTGACTTTATTCACCACACAAAACTAAGCACAACAACAACAACAACTTGCATGCTAAGTAAACTGCCTTGCAGTGCCCTGTCCAATGCTGTTGTTGTTGCTGCTGCTGCTGCTACTGTTGATTTTGGCGTTCCGTTGAGAGTAAAAGTGATTGGGAAAAACTTTTGCTTTTGCCTGCCGATCGTTTGCTTGCGCTCTCAATTGTGTTTGTGCGCTCTCTCTTTCTCTCCCTCCCTCTCCACTCTAGCTCTCTCTCTCTCTCGTGCTGTCTGTGTGTCTCTGCGCTATGGCCTGACCACCATCCACAGGTAGTTGCTGTAAAAGCAGCGCAGTTAACGACGCTGACGACGACGACGAAGTCATTTTGGGGCTTTTTATGGCGCTTTGCTCTCTTTGCATGTATGTGCGTGTGTGTGTGTGCTTGAGTTGCTTCTTGTCCGTTGCTGTTGTTGTTGGTGTTTATTTTTCGGCCGTCGCCGTCGCTGTTGTCGTCGCTGCTGCGTTTGCGTCTCATTTTCTTTGCGCTGTTGCTGCTGCTGCTGCGCTAAAGACTTTTGTCACAGTTACAATTTACCAATTGTAAGCAGCGGACGTGAAGCGCGCAAACCACTAAACAAAATAAAAAAAGAAGAAAAACAGCAAAAGCTCACTCGTTCGCACATAACGGTTCTTCAGGAGCTGCCTTCTAATACAAAGCGTCCGCGTCCGCGTCGGCGTCAACGGCAACGGCAACGTCAGCAGCGACGTCGCCAGCGTTGGCGACTTGTAAATAAAGAAATACACTCGCGTATAAAATCTGTTGCATCATTGCTGAAACACTTCAGTCGTTGAATCGCGTGCGTGCAGGCAACACATTTACCGCGACAACAACAATTACGAATAACAACAACACCAACAACAACATAAGAAGCAGTGCGCGCAGCTGCAGTGACAATAAAATAAAAGCAGCATCTAAGAAAAAAAAGAAACTTGAAATTAAGAAAATCAATAAAATGTGAAAAGTGACTTTTGGCAAACAAAGTTTTCAAACAAAAATAATAAAAATCTAAAAAAAAAACAACGCAAAGTGCAGCCGCCAAAAAATGTAAAATATAAAAACAAAAGCTAATCATAAATTTCAACAATTCAAAATTATTTGAAAATTGAAAAACTAAACGAAAATTGTTTTCCAACAAACAAAATTATTGCAAACATTTCCAAAGAACAGTTTACCTCAAAAGCAAATAAGAAAATGCTTTAGCGAAGAAAAGGAATGCGACAAATTCAACACGAAAACGATTCGAGAAAATATATAATTATTATTAATAAAAATAACATAAAATAAATAACAAATAATCATAAACAAAAAAGGCATCAAAATTTTACCCTCATTCGCACAACTCAAAATGCTGAACATGGAATCGCCCCAGATGTATGCGGATGCGGTGCAAACGCTCGCTCAGCTCGACCTGAAGAAGCAGCAGCCGCCGCTGCCGCAGCAGGCAACAATTGGCCAAATAACGCTGACGGCGATGTCCACTGCACAACAGCAACAACAACAGCAGCAGCAGCAGCAGCAGCAACAACAGCAACAACAACAACAGCAGCAGCAACAGGTGACAACCGATGCGAATAATAATAATGCAAGTGTGCAGGATGCGGCACTGCTTGTCAAACAGCATGCCATGCAACAAATGCAGCAACTGAACAACAACAACAACAACAACAGCAGCAGCAATAACAACAGCAGCAACCTGTTGCAAAAACAAATGCTGCAACAGTACAGCACACAAACGGACCTCGACGAGCTGACCACACAGGAAATAACACTCGACTTGCAACATCTGATCGATGATCAGTTCAGGGATACGGAAACATTGGGCATCTTCAGCGATATGGTGACGAGTCCGGGTGGACTGTCTGCCACACTGCCACCGAGTGGCATGGTGAGTGCAGCGGCCAAAGTGTTGCAGCAGCAACAACAAAACCTGGCCAATGCACGCCAACAGCAGCAGCAGCAGCAGCAACAACAACAGCAACAGCAGCAGCAACACTCCTACGGCCGTGCCGCGCTCGCCTACATGCCACAAGCGGTGCACTCGAATGCCAACTACAACAATCACTCGAGCGACGAGAACAGTTCCGTGGGCAGCGATTCGAGCAGCACCATCAAAGAGGAGCCCATCGATCCCGACTATCGCCGCCACCTGCAGGAGTCGGTCAGCAGTCAGGCGGCAGCGGCGTTTATCAATAATACGACCAATGGACTGTATAATGCCTATCAGAGCAGCGGCAGCAACAACAATAGCAGCAGCAACAACAGCAACAACAGCAGCAGCAGCAACAACAATTCGACAAACTCAACACACGCAACACAATTCACCAATTTGACCACGGCCAATGTGCTGGCCCATCACAGTTTGCCGCATCTAACGGCTAACGCGCAACAGTTGCTCAAGCATCACAGCAAGTTGCAGCAGTCGCAGCAGCAGCAGCAACACGCACAGCAACAGCAGCAGCATCATCATCATCGCAAGCACAGCAACAAGCATGTGGACAAGGGGACCGAGGAGTATCGCAGGAGGCGAGAGCGCAATAATATTGCTGTGCGCAAGAGTCGCGAGAAGGCAAAGGTGCGCTCCAAGGAGGTGGAGGAGCGTGTGAAATCGCTGCTCAAAGAGAAGGACGCCCTCTTGCGTCAGCTGAGCGAAATGACCAATGAGCTTTCGCTGCACAAGCAAATTTATATGCAGCTAATGAATCATACGAATCCCGAAGTGAGTCGTGTCTGTCGGAGCTTTCTCAACACGAACGATCATGCGCTGTGATGAACGTGTGCGCGACGAGCATAGAGAGAGAGCCTGTAAATGTGTGCGTGTGTGTGTGAGTGAATGTGTGTGAGTGTCAGTGTGTGTGTGCGTCTGTGTGACTGATTCAATTAAAGTTGTGTGGGTAGCGTTTAAGTGAAAAAAGGAAAGGATGTTAGAAACAACTTGAAGCGCATCACATACATTATATACATATATACACACATATATATATATATATATATTAATATGTATATATATATAATCATCCAAAAAATCTGTATATAGACAGCAAATAGATGCGAGACTCGAGTTCTTCAACATGACTAGCATAAGTCATTAGTTGCTTACATTTCTAATTCTACTTCTACTTCTATTTCTACTTACATTTCTACTTCTAATTCATCTACTACTTTTACTACGACTTCTATTGCTGCCTGTGGCATTCCTTAATTTTGTACATTATCATTTTTGGCTGGGCGTTTCTTATAGTTTTTGTGTGTTGCTTCTTATTTGTTTGTACTTAATTTTAGTGAATTGTAAAATACTTTTGCACATTTTGATACAAATTATATAACATAGTATGCATAAGTTAAGCCAAAGAAAAAAAATGTTAAAATATTTATGTAAAAACTATACACTGTATATGTCTGTATATGTATGTATAAATAAAGCAAGCAGGAAAGAAAACATAAAATACAAATACAAAAAAAACAAAAAAACAAACACAAAAACCTATTTATGTAAATCTATTTAAATATACTAAGAAACAACAACAAACATCATCAACAACAACACTGGTGTGCAGCTCGCGCTATGCTTCTGATTGCCCCTGCCACGCCCCGCTTTAGTTGTCCCCCAACAACAACAATCACAACAACAAAAACAACAACAACAACATCAACCTTTTATTAGCAAATCTTTAGCTTTAAGCTTAACAATATATAAACAATTTCAACTGCTTTTTGTTTTTGCATTGCACAGGAATCGAGACAGAGAGAAAAACCCAAAATAATTAATTAATGAATTAATATTATATGTGTATAATTATTGTTACCTAGCAAATTTAATGAGAATGCATACAAATATACAAATACCAATACAAAAACAATGTAAAAACCACAACAAAAAAAAAAAAACAAAACAATATAAATGAATAAATAATATAATACAGAAGAGCAAGCATTATAAAATAATACAAGATAATTGCTTAGAAGCGTAGTAGATGAAAATGCTATTTATTTGTAAGGCAAACGCAATGTTCTCATTTTTAATTTATAAATTAAACGACAAAGAAACAAAACACACTGTAAAGCAAACATAAATAAATTTTAATAAAATTTGTATAGAAAAATCAATGATTTTCATTTTTATTTCAAATTTCAACTCATTTCTCAAGCTACGAAAGTAGTTTGAAAAAAATACATGATTTTAATATACCCTTGTAGACCATAGTAAAGTTATCAACATCTAAATTTCATTATAATTCTATAAAAATCGACCAGTTGTTCAAAAGAAAGCTGAGTTATATCATTAAAAACATATAGTATAAAGTTATTTTTGATATCTTGGTAAAGAAAAAAGTTTTTTATACAAGAACTCATCTTTCAATCGATCATTCCTATGGCAGCTTTATAATATAGTGGACCGATTCAAGTTTCATTAAGACCATTTTACAACTTTACCATTTCGTTGGGGCTAATGATACTGATCAAGAATATATATTATTCATGGTGTCGGAAACTATAGACCCTCTGCAATAATGATTTTGAATTATTTTACAACGAGGCAATATGTAAAATAAATTAAGGAAAATAATTGAAATTTGTATTAGAATCATAAAAAATGTGAAATTCTTTTCATTTTCTAAAACTGGAAACTTTTGATAATGAAAGTCGAAACATTTAAAAAATAAATATAGAGCATTGATAATATGATATATATAAAATTTTGTTCCCCAAAGTTGAGCGATCTATTTCGCATTTCAAGTTTACATGTGTGTAGTATATGCAACAAATGGGCCGTTGCAATTGGTTGAAGCCACTTTTGGCTGGCGACAGAGGCACAAAAGTGATGCCAAATGAAAGAATACAATTTCTAATTAAATGTCTGCCATATTTAGGTGGCAAGCACACAAAAGATGCAACTACGGGTTGGCTGCCTGTCCCTCTGTCTGCCTGTCTGCTGATCGGGACGGAACGATAGGCGACAGGGCAATCTATGGGCTCTGTGGCATGCGCGACAAGTTGCCCTCGACGCTGCACACGTGTGTCTGTTTGTGTGTGAGCACAGAACGGACCCCCAGACAATTGTTGACACAATTTGACAGTAAGACAAACCCGAAACGAAAAGCAAATTTATAAACGACAAGCAGCAAAATTAATGCAACTAAAAAGACAAATTAACGCACAGAGAAAGCCAAACAGCAGCAGCCACAACAGCAACATCAAGGGGCAACATCAGTGGCAACTGCATTGCCATTGCTACCACGGGGCAGATAATCACTTAAAAACTTTTTGGGCTAAGCCCTTTTCGGAGACCTCAGGCGGTCCACAAAAAACAACCAAAAATATAAAAAATAAACTACTACAACTTTCATTTGAGCTGCGTGCGTTCAATTTGTCTAGGCGCAACACTGACCCGCTCCACTACCACCCTTCCCCTGCCTCAGGTGCCGCTTTGGGTTCGCTCTTAAAGCGCTGCATTGTTGGCCACTTTGATTGATGACAGCTAATTGCAGCCTCCAAAAAGTGAAATTGTCAGTGTGGGTGTCTCTGCGTACCCCCCTCTCTCTCTCTCTCTCTTCGTCTGTCTATCTCTCTTGCCAAGTGCAACGGGAGCTGCTTGCCACAATTTGTTGGTGTACAATTTCAAATTGAAGCGCGACTTTGATAAGGGTTCTAAGCCGCTTACAAAAGGTGAAAGCGGCATTCGTGTCAAATCAACCAAAAAAAAAACATAATAAAAGAGTCCCTCAAGAGTCAAGTAACGATTGTTTTCTCGTTCGTATCTGCGTCTGGCAGCTCCCATCTGGTCGCATCCTGGTGCCAACAAATTGACGCACAATTACTGCCCAACTAAGCGCCAAGCGCCAAGCGCTCTCGCACCACGCGGCGTATGAGTTATGAGCGCCAAGTGATAAATTTGCAGCAAGCGCACATTTCACATTAATTCATTTTGCATCGTAAATATGCATATTTCTTCTTGTTTTCTATTTTCTTTTGGTTGTCATTTTCGGCTCTCGTTTTTAATTATGTGCTGTGTGCGGTGCAACAAGGGTGCACGAATTGGTTTGATGAGCGACACGAAATGATTGAAGATCACTCAGAGAATATGAAGTGATAAGTGAAAAGAATTTGTGAGATGCATAGCGAAAATAAAATATATTAAATTATTATGTATATACATAATTATTAATATTTAATGTTTTATGTAAAAATATATTTCATATTATATTGAATATGTTTTTGTAGGCGTCGTAAAATATGATTTATTAATATGTATCGATAATTGTGAGAAATTGTATTAAATGTTGACTTAAAAGTGCGAAAACTTATCAGTGACTTCCGGATTATTCTACATATATACATTCTTATCATAGATATTTTTGAGCCACGCAAAGAGTCAAAAACAGTTTAACGCTTTCAGTTTGAATTTCTCGTATCTAATCTTAATCTAAAATATCTAATCTTAAAATAAAATATAATTTAGAGAGTGAGTGTATAATGCCATCGGTTTCAATCCGAATTGGGCTACATATCGTAAGGAATAACGATGGGGCTAAGCTATATCGACTGACTAATAGACAACCTCAGCAGGGTTTTATTATATTTTTGATATTTATTATCTTTTTAATAAGTAGAACATTTCTTAGTCTACTGTTATTTCAGCTACTATTTCGATTTTACAAAATATACTTTACTTTCTGCTGGACTTAATCGCTTATGCATCAGTCAGATATTATATATACACATATTTGGTACTTATCAATGCTCCAGTTTCGGTTAAGAGCATCATGCATTGCATTTCAAGCAGTCATTTCATCCATCTTTCACACTTCAGTTTCAGTTTTAGTTTTTGACTGTTACACATTTTTATCATTGTTGCCTTCTTTTTATGCCTCAGCAACAACAATAAAAACTGTAACGGAAAAAGTGGGTTACTTCATTTTTATTTTCTTGCTTTTCAAGCCACCAATACCAATAGCAACAACAGTAACAACAACAACAATAACAACAATAACAACAACTAAAGCCAGCTTTACATCTATGCATCTATCGGTCTATCTTTTTTTTTAGCACAGATTGAGTAATAGTTTGTTGTTGTTGCTGGCACTGCTGCCGTTTGGCTTATATTTAAAGCCAAGTCTCTCTTGCACTTCTCCTCCCTCCTCCCCACTCTCTCAACTTGGCAGCAGCAGCAGCAGCGGCGCTGATCGTGTGGCCAACTGCTGCGGCAAGCGCGGTTTCACTTTCTATGCCGCTGACTTTTGCTATCTACCAACAGCAGCAGCAGCAGCTAGCAACAGGCAACAGGCAACAACAACAACAATAACAACAACAAACCATATTGGGGCCGTCAAGCATCCAGCAACAACAACTATTAACTAGCAAAGAGTGCTCTAGTCGAGTGCTCACGACTACAGCATACTCACCAAAGCAATTGATGAATGCGTATCTTTTCCTAAAGATTTGAATCCCAACGGCATTCAAAATATATCTAAATATATAAAATATATATTATATTTTAGTTATATTTAGTGCTCACAAAACAAAAAACAAAATTCACAATTTTTCTTAAAATAAAACTCTTTTTAGTAAAAGTATTTGCCGGCTGCAAAGTGTGTTATTTGTTTGAGAAGACTTCTTAATGTTGAAAAATTGAATTATTAAATTTAAATGTAGTATTTTAAAGTTAAAGAGCAATATTCACTGTCAAAATTTCTAACATTATCCAATGTAAAATTGTTGCATTGCCATTTTGTCATACCTTCAAAATTCGCATTTAAGAATTCGATATTTTAAGGTAGGATCGCGATTGCCTTAAAATACAATTCTAAATTTATTAATTTCATTTGTTTTTGTGTAATTTATTAAGAAATTAGAAATGAAATCTTAATAATTTTAAAATTTGTTTATTATTTATTGAGTTGTTTGCAGAAAAGTATTCATCGCCTGTCTTTTATATTTGAATTAGTTGATTTATTATTCATTTTGCAAAGACAAAAAAATAAAATAATTTAATATAATATAATATAATAAATATAAATTTAAATAAATATATTTTTGCTGTTTTATTTAAGCCAACGGAGAATGATAATAAAGT